AGGATATTGTGATACATTTTTAAAAAGGATTAAGCAAACAATAACCTGCCACAGCTTTGATCTTATTGTATAAAAGGAGTCGACTCCCCGTTCAGAGATGTACCAGTTCTCCAAGGCCTCTGTGTGGCTTAAATGGCTCTGTAGTGCTGTATTATTCCAAACTTTCATAACAGTATTCGATGCAGCATAATGTAATTTAGACATCGAAGAATCGATGTACCTAGTAAGAGTTGCTTCACTCTCTTTTCACTGATGCTATCTGATCTAATAGGTAGAGAAATGTGCTGAACTGTCACAGCATACATTTCAATGAGAAAAATCACTACAGCATAGAAATGTTTATGTAAGTGCTGACAACATATCAATTAATAATGCCTGCAAGATACAAAGAGGAAATATTCTATTCTTTACAAGTGGAGAAAGAGCCAAGTGAAGACAATTTCATGCAGCCTCTTCATATCGCAAAACAGCAAATAATTTCACCTCTGGTAGACTAGTCAGAACTGACTGGGATTTTGCTCATAGCTGGAGTGAGAAAGAGCAATAAGAAAAACAGTGAGTGTTGTGTGCTACCATCTATGTAAAGAAGGTAAGTGGGCAAGGGTATATACATACACATGTGTGTTCATAAGGAATCTTTAACTTAGGAAGAAAACTTAAGATACTATGGAAATTGGCACCACCAAAGTGGCATAGCATGGGGCTAGGGAGGATGTAGACAAATTTTCACTGTATACTCCATTGTGCTGTTTCAATTTTCTTCTTTTTCATCCTCTTTCTTTTCTTCCAAGAGTATGTTTAACTACTTAAAAATATTTTTAGTGGCTGAAGAACAAATGAAGAGTAAGTATATTAAAGGAGTAAGGTCACAAGCTATTGAAGAACTATTCTGATTTCAAATGTCAATAAAAAAAGATAGTATACTCTTTGTCTTATACACAAAGCGATTTATGAGTTGTAAAAAGGTTTATCCACCTATCTATTTATTTGTTTTATTCCTCTTTAATCTTTATCTGAGGATGCATTTAATTTTAGAGAAGAAGGGGGAGGGGCGAGAGAGAGAGAGACATTGATGTGAGAGAGAAACATTAATTGTCTGCCACCTGTATGCACCCTGACCACAGACCGAACCTGCAAACTGCAACAACACTCCAACCTACTGACCCACTTGGCCAGGGCACTGAGATGTTTTAGTGACTAAACATGACCTGATAAATCCTTTCCTTGCCATTATTATTTGTCTGTCCTTGGGCAATTAGCATTTACATCCTCATCTGTTAATGGGTGTAATTACCTACATATACCTGTGCATCTGTGTATGGTAGGGGACAGGCTGCACATAATCAGGAATGGTGGCCACCTAGAGGAAGGCAGTGGGTCTCATTAACTAAGGGATGCAACTCCTGAACTCTCTATTAAGGAGACTTAAAGTCTGGTACAATTTTGAAGATGGTAAGTTTTCTCCCCATTTCAAAAAGTAAACAAGGGCAATGAGAACTGAAGATCTTCCTGCTGTAACATTTCCTTTAGTCTCTCATTCGGCTGCATCCCAAAGCTGCCTCATCCATGATACTCTTCTTCAGTTATAAAGATGTTGAATCCTCTTGTGTATTTCCATGGGCCTACATTTCTGGAAAGTTAGCAGAATTGTTTATTATTTACTAAATTCCAATACACACCTTTTATGGTTCACTTAGAGTCTGACTGACATAAAACCTCTCACATTAGCACTTCCCCCCTACTTATTAATCAGAGGTGTCCTTCCAAAACAATCTAAATTTCCATTCATTTTATCTGCATAAGCAGCCACTAGTAAAACATCATTCCTTTCCTGTTTTCCTCTGCTTAAACCACCTCTAAATCTATCTGTAGGCCAAATAGATTCAACTTGAATTCATAAAATAGGGCTGCCCCAGCAAGACTCTACTCAACCTGCCTTTAACCTTCAGGGAAGTTTAACTGTTACCCCAGGTTTAAATATTAAGCTCTGTGAGTCAACACTATAACCACAAAGATGAATCAGGCAACAGATTTCTTTTTTGAATGAATTTGCTATTTCATAGTGAGCTCAGCAAACCAATTACTTGAGCTCTAGCACTGCATCGACGGCCAGCTGATGTTTACATGGAGGTCCCCCAGAGTAAACTGACACAACTCCCCAGTCTGAGCTGACTGCCTCGTGCACAGGCCTGCACAGGCACTGTTTCCCCTACAGGCTGGTAAAATGAACTGTAGTTTTGTATAGTAATTCAGAAGATAATCGATTATTTGCCAGTAGTCTGTTTTTGAGTTGCCACTTATTATTATTTTTTTTTATCCACTCCAGGGACACACTTTCAATTTCACAGTCTTCTGCACATTGTGGACAGTGGCTTTAATTTCTTAAAGGAAAGCGCACATTCTCTATTATAGTTAGACGCATGGCTCTGCAAAGAGCAGGCGGGGAACTGTATATCCAGGGAGGAAATGTCTATCTGTGCTTACGTCTGCACGCTCACTCCATCTGCAGTGTCGTGGCTGACGAGCCGGGAAGGGAATTAAGGAAGAACCTTTCTTCATCTAATGAGAGACGCCTCTGTGTCTCACAGTCTTAGCTGTTCTGTCTGGGGGATGGTAAACATTCCTGAAGGTACCATTCTTTAATTGTTTATGGATTACTTCTCTTTATTTTACTGTTAAAATAAGAGTTTCTGGCAGAGTTAAAGAGAATCTTGTCAGGAAACAGTTGTTTTCCTCCTGCAGACTAACATTCCTGCAGGCAATGCAGCAAATTAACCAATATAAATGTTTCCTTCAAAACACAGAAATCTTTTATCTATTTAGGAAGAGATCACACAATATAACATGCTGAACTATTTCTATTAAGCCCAAAGATGACAAAAAAATTGAAAAGAATAAATCCATTATAAAGAATTCATATCTGCTGCTTTGTGAGCAATCCATAATACACCGTATTGTGCAAACTATAGGAGATGATGACCTAACAATACAGAATGTAGAGAGGGCTTTTGACAACAGAAAAGCTTAAGAGAGAGTGTCATTTAATGGAGAGTGAAAAAAAAATGATCCTGGATTCATTTTACTCCTTTATTTGTTGTATCACTTTGTAAAACCTTTCTATGCCTTGCTCCCTTCATCAGAAAAATGAGACCTATGGTTTTATTTTTATAAAGTGCTTTAGGATTTAGGAGAACCCAGAATGCATTATATGATGAAAGCCGCCATGGTGTATGTCACATGACTGCAGCAGAAAAGGATCTAGGGACCAAAAGCAAAACATGAATCAGCAATGAACACTTACTTTGTTTTTTTAAAACCCCAGGAGGTGCAAATATATGTTAGAATTGAAGCTGATCCCCTTTCTTTATAATCACACATTACTATATCTGGGTCTGGTTTTGAAACTTGAATTTAGTAGAAAGAATACAAATGGAGGACGAAGTAAGGAGCAGGGTCTCTCTCCCAATCAAACCCAAGTCACTAGAGATGTCACCAAGAGCTATATTGACCCATGCTGAATTCCCCAAAGGACCAGAGATAGAGGGCTAGGGACATCTCTCTGCCCCCTTCCTCAACATACTGTCATTCCCAACAGAGCTACACTTTGAGGAGATGAATCAACAAAGGAGGACCTGACTCTTCAAACCGCCCAAAGTTACATGGGTTTTTAGGACAACAGGAGAGTCACAATCAGGGATAATGTGCATCATCATCACTTTGAGACAGAGGTCAAGTGAGTGTTCTAGGAGTTAGGAATTCTAGGTTCCATGCTTATTCCAACATAAATGTACCACATTACCATTAACAAGTCAAACTCTCAGGACCTCTGATTTCTCAACTAACACTGAGGGTGAAAAAGTGGGGGAATTGGTTTCAATGATATCCTTCAAAGACCTAGAATTCTATTATTCTTTGAGTGCATGAATAATTACTTTAGACCTGGAATATATAATCCAGTAGGAAAGGTTTCAAGTATCAAGGTAACTTTCTCTGAAAATAATATTATCCTGGCATCGGGATGGTAGAAATGAGAACACAAAGGGAAAAATGCCACAATCAGGCAATTAGTTAGTGGCAAAATTACAAAAAGACTTTGGGATTTGAACACAAATTTTGATTATTTTTTACACTGCAGCCGATTTTCTACAAACCCCCCAACTTGAGAAGTCTAAAACTAAGTATGTTAAAAAGATAGTCCCAAGCACACAGACACACGTTTTCTGCCCACCCCCACGACACCAGCCCTGCTATGTACACACATACTTGACCCTTGGACGATGTGGGGGTTGGCAGGACAGACTCCCCGCAGAGTTGAAATCTGCATGTAACTTCTGACTCTAAGATTAACTACTAACAACGACTGTGGATCAAAAGCCTTACCGATAACATACACACCCGGTTAACACATAGTTTGTATGTTATATGTATTATGTACTGCATTCTTACAATAGAGTAAGCTAGAGAAGAGAAAAGGTTACCAAGAAAATCATAAAGAACAATCCTGAGGAAGAGAAAATACATGTACAGAAAAGCTTCACTGTTTAGAGTGGATCTGAACAGTTCAAACCTGTATTGTTCAAGGGTCAACTGAATAATATATCTGTCACAATATACATTTAGCAAGCAAACACTACTTCCCTATAAACCCGTTCTCCTTTCTGTACCCTCTGTTCTTGGTTAATATTGCCCCAGAGGCCTAGTACCCAAAGGCAGAAGCAATGACACCTTCCTGTTCTCTTCAGTCGCACGCGGAGTCGTTCTGCATCCCCACAGACTGCCAGATACAAACCGCTTCACCTCTGACTTCATTTCTGCACTCTTTCTTCGACCCCAGCATGCCGCACCACTCAGGCCTTCACCTGTTGCCTTACTTCTGTGCTCCTAACTGGTCTCCTTGCCTCCAAACCCCTCTTCCATATATGAGCTTAAAAATAGTTTTAAAATTAAAATGTAAATATAACTCTTACTTGCTTAAAAACTGTCAAAATTCATTAGTTTACCCATAGGCTGAAAGGTGAGCTTCCCAGCAGAAAACACCAGGCCCTTCTTGCCCACGGCCGGCCTTTCTAACCTGGCTCCCTCCATTCTCCATGCACACTGCCTGCTTCAGCAGGAACACATGCTGCAGACATTCCCACGGGCTGCATACCACTGCGACTTGGTATGTGCCAGGATCTGCGTCTGGAAATCCCTATTCTTCTCCCACTGTTTACTTGCAAAATCACATTCAGCTTTTAAAACCCAAGTAAATCATTCCTCCACTGGGATCCCTCCGGTTCTCCACTTCCCTTGATAATTAACCACATCCTAGTCTAAGCTGCTCCTGTACTTTGGACAGGCTTTCGCTGTTTGCATTCTTCACACGGTACTGTAATTGTTTATTTGAGTGTCTCCCTCCACCACTAAACTGTGAAACTCTTGAAGGCAACAACTGCATCTTAATCATCTTTATCTCCTTAGCACAGTAGCTAGAACGTGGAAGGTCCTCAACAGTGTTTATAGTTATGAATGAATGAACAAACAAGCAAACATTCACTCAACAACTATTTTACCAAATGACTCACAGAGTTCCAGGAGATAAAAATTCTATTAATAACCAAAAAGAAAAAAATCAGGTAAGGATATTCAGAGAATTATACTGTATGATAGAACAGGAGATGACTGGGTGTTAACATTGGTTCATCTTGTCAGGAAAGGCTTCTTCAAATCCATGAATGACAAGAACTACCTCACATGCTTTGCCAGAAGAATAGCTGTTGTCCTGAGGGATGAGCTGCAGCTCAAACTGAGGGAAAGAGAATCACCAAGCTCGGCTTAGAGGGTTTTGGTTTCAGCAACCAAGTAATTAGGAGTTATACATACTCTTAAGGGGAGGACTGGGAGAGGTTCAAGTATGGAGGACAAAATTAAAAGTTATGCATTTGGCCTCTTCAATTTGTAGGTGTCATGGACATCTAAGTAAAGATGTCCAGTAGGCAGTTAGACACAGGAACCTGGTGTTTTAGAGGGCATGGTCACCAGAGAAAAAGACTTGAGAACCATCAGCTTCCCCCCTAAAATGGTATTTAAAGACACCATGGGGCTGGATGACATCACTTAGGGAAGGGTGTAGGTTAAAAAGGACCAAGGCCTAGGAGACACTCTAACATTTAGACTTCACACAGAAGAACCAGCAAAGGAGAATGAGAAGGATATACCACTTAGCTAGGAGGAGAACTAGGAGACCGTGGTCAGCCATGAGAAGAAGGTACATAAAGAAAGAGTAGTCAACTTTGTTGAGTTTAGGCTGAAAGATCAAGTAATATAAAATATTCAATTACCAACATCCAAGGATGCTGGGTCGCTAGAACTCTCTTCTCTGAGAGTAGAGATAGGAATGAAGCCTTATTCAAGGTGAAACCCAGCTTTTTATAGGAAACCCTGGAAAGATATTACACAGTAATGAAAAATGTTTTTTCTCTATGTCCAGTTACAGCAAAACTTAAAATGGGTAAAACTTTGATGATACTTAGAATCAATTTCAGGAAAAATTTCCTAGTAGCACAGTTACCAAAAAAACAGACAAACAAACAACCCCCCCAAAACACACACAAAACATAACTTCCTATCATACATTGAAAGGAAAGACTCTTATCCCACTGTACTAATCGATTTAATCACTCCTGTTGTTTATCTATATTGTTGAAACTGAAATAAATAGTTGGTCAAAAATTACTCAAAATATGACTGCCACTTTTCTCACATTTGGGGTGCATTCTCTCCTCAACCTGTATACCTAATGATAACTAAATATATACCTCGCCTTTTAGATCAAGACATAGGAGCAATGCATCTTATTCATACATGATATTGTATGAATTAATAATTACTATATTTATGGATTAGGAAGAAAATCTATTTAAAAATTTATAGACTGAAGATAAAATGAAATAGCACATTCTACAAACTATCAGTCATAGCAAAGCTGAAGGAAATAAGACTATTTCCTTTCACAACTTCAAGTGATTCTTGTTTCCTTCTAGAGAAATGGCGAAGTTTTCAGAAGTTACAATCTGCTGAGCAAACTCCCAAAGGAACAAAACTAATGTCCATCAAGGTGTTATCCTCTACTTTGTAGTGACAAAAAATATTTTTAATTCTGTTTTAATTACTAATGACTTCTATGATTAAAAATGGTTACCCTTAAAATATGGGTATGTATGGTTTTATAGAAAAAGCTAGCAAATTACCACTCATAACCTACTCATGTTTATTGAGTATTGATACCCCACTTTTACAGGGAGAAAAGGATATGCAAACATTTTGTACATTAATAAAATATCTAAGTAAAATCCGGAATGAATATCAAAAGGCTTGTGTTCTTTTATTACACAGAAAAAAAAGATGGGCAAAATAGTAATTCTGATGGACAGAAAAGCTCAGCTTTAGCATAACTAGAGTGATCTGCTTGGGTGCACCACCATAATTTTATAATTATCTTAAAATAGATGTGATCCCTTTTAAATTTTAGCTGCCACATAGCATTATGTCAAATATTAAAATGAAGCATTGTTAATACTACAGCACACAATGTGGCTGGCAACTTTGGGGTAAAATATAGAATATGATGGCTTTTCAAAATGTTGTGATTGCCTTAGAAGCAGGCAAAACCAAAGCAAACGAAACCAAACCCTACAAAAACAAGTCTCAATCATACAAAGTAACTAAATTGGAGTTACTGATAGACTTACAGGGTAATGATGCTACCATGTACATTTATTTTTTATGAATGAAGCATTTTCAGCAACTTAATATCTTTCTCAAATTAGACTAAAAGGTCTGCTGTTATATATGTGCAAAAACAAATTTAGTCAAAAAAGACTTTTGGCCTTTATGACAAGACTGCTGTCTGTGGTTCTACTTATTTTTGGAGAGTCTTTTTTTAATGAATGCTATTGGTCTATTTTAGGAATATGGTTAGTTCATCAATAATACTTAACCAGCAAAACAACAAGATCAGACCGGAACAGCAACTACTGTATAACATGACGGTTCACATTATCTATTCAGCGGGCCTGACTTGACAGACAGTATTTTACAAGACGCTGCACTGGTGTGGGGTCACCTGGAGATGCAATGTGCCCACTCTCTGAGTGCCAACGGCATGGCATGCAAACTCCACTAATGCCCTCCCCCATTTTTCTGCACCCTGGAAACTGGCCAACATTCAATGTGCAGAACAGGTTGGGGGTTTATGAATAGAAAACTGCAACAACAACAAAAAACATATAGATAAAAGGGCATCAACCTTTGTACCATACTACATGCCACGCATATTGGAGGCTCCATGTTAGATACAGGCAATGCTATCAGATGTGTTACATGCTACAGGCAATAACAAAAAAAACATGCAGAAAAGAAGCTTATGAACACAGATCCTTACAAAAGCATTTAGTGTGGGAGGTATGTATACTCTGAACTCAGAGTTGTATGTACATGGTTATATTTTCTGACATACTGCACTATTGTTTGCCTCATGATTTCAGAACAGATTTGTAGATTTATAGTCATTTATGCAATTACCTCTGACCGGTCTATGATGATTCAATGTATCAGCAAATGAAGGGTAACTGTCAAAAGAGGTCATGCCATTTCAAAGCAGAGCACCCATGGGCATTTTCAGGGAAGAAACAGAGAATCAAAATTTCACTTATCTAAGTTTTTATAGTTCTTTTTAATAACTGAGCAAGACTTTTACTGTAATTTTAGCATCATTCACTGTGTTAAGTACAATACTATATACCATCAAAGAATTACTCACAGCCTCTGATTCACATTAAAAAGCGTGGGTTGATATCAAGGCACAAAATGGGTAAGCGTTAACACGACGAGGTTATGAGACATGCATATAATAATTCTGAAGTCTTTGTCATTACTTTTCTCAGATAAATTTAGTATAATTTCTTCATAACTCTGTGAGTCATTGGCCAACTCATTACAATAATATAATCAATTTATTATTGAGACAGAAATATCCTGACAATATGGCAAAACTCTAGAAAAGCCAGTTTCTAAATTAATGTCAGAGCATTACACATGTGTCATAAATGGCTCACAAAGGGATGCCAAATCATCCCTGTTGCTGAGCTAATTGTTACACTTTGATGTTTCTTAAGATCGATTGCGTTGGTTCCCAGGTCAGAGCTCTCCCCCTCTGTCCTTTTTTTCTTCACTCTTCAATCATATCATAGCATTAAAGTTACTTGACAATGAGATAACTGAAGTTGTTTCAATGGTTCTAATGTAGCAAGTGTTTTAATTCTACTTTTGACTGGATTTGTTGCAGAGAAGAAATCCTTGCCCAGATTTATTAGGGAACTTTTGCATATCTTATGGTTCTATGATAACCCCCAGAAAGCTAAGACACTAAACAAGGGGCTTGGAGCACAGGTTTACAGGATGAGGGGCCCCTGTGAAAAATCTGTGATAAAAACTTTATGCCTTAGTTACATTTTCAAGTGTATATTCTGTGTCTGCTCCAAATAGGCTGTAAGTTCCTGTTTACACAAAACAGGTGCTTCACAAATATCTGAAGACTGGTTTATTGAAGAAGCATCCACACACAGCCTCATGGAAATTCAAGACAGTCCTCTATCTATGTGGGAAAAAAAAGTCCTGTAGTCATTGTTTTGTCTCCACGCTTCGGCTGGCCAGCATAAGAAAGCAACAAAAGCAATAGCAACCACAGAAAAGATCAATGATGATGCTTACAGTTAAGTTTAGACTCTTCCACTATTTATATGGTCAAATAATTATACATTTTGTCTCCTGGGGACAGACTCCAGTTCAGTGTCTTTGCACCAACCACATATTTTTGGGAAACTGTAACTTTTATAAGCTGGTTTATCCTCTTTTACTTTGCACAGTTCCTTGGATAAGGTATTTACTCTAATTCCTTTAAATCATCTCCATATCTTACCAAAGAGGAAAGAGATACAGTGAAATACAACAGGGGACCACAAAGTTACATTTTACATTATTGCTGTTTTTTTTTAACAACAGTGCACAACTGGTTAGAATTTCAGCTAGAAAATATAAATATGGTTGTGAGGACAGGAGCTAAGTAGCTTATGATAGGGAGAGCTTGTTCAAAATAAAATGGAGTCTCTCAGAGGAGATACAAGTGGGCAATGCTAGAATTAATTTGCCCTGCATGTGGGGCCATGGAACTGGATCTGCAAAGTGTAAACAAACATCTACCTTGGGATGTGGGATTCACTTAAGGGTTTCTTCACATGGAAACATACTTGTCATGAGGCAGTGGGTCCCTGAGGAGAGAGAGCGAGCCACAGAAACAGACTTCATTTCTACTGCTTCCTGCAGTAGTAAGCTGAACCTGACAGCTGATTCTCCTCTGACAAGGACAATTTTTAAGCCAAGAATATAAACATAGTCCATTTTTCTGTCTTCATCTTATCCTGGATGGTGCCTTGTCCTAAGATTTCAGTGTACGAACTCAAGTTCAGTGAACTCTCCAAGATTACTATGCATTTCCCAAGGAGATTTTCAAAAATTACTCTGCCAATTCCATGTACAAGTTCCATTAAAGCTTTTATTTAATTGCTTGGGATTTATGAAAGATCTTGTGACAAAGCCATGCTGTGCCATAACTTATCCCAGCCTGCGAAGAGGAAACTGGAGATCAGATGGGTTAAAACTATATGTTCTCTGGGCCAGGGAAGGTATCTGCTCTTTTCTTCCTCGTATTTTCATGACCCTGCACAGTGTAGTGTAGCAGCGATACGGCACAGCGGGTAGAGCTTAGAGAGTCAGACAGAGCGGGCCTGGAGTGCAGATTCTCAGCTCTAGCAATCACTTGGTGGGTCACCTTAAGAATGTTTTTTCACCGCATCTGTGCCTAAGTTTATTCACCTGTTAAAATGGAGAGAATAATAGTAGCTTATAAGGCATTAGATAATTAAATGAAGTACTACCTATGATGTAATCAAATGCTGTCTGCTACACAGCTAATACTTAATATATTAATACATTATTAACAGCATCTGTATTACTATTGTCTGGTACATAGGAGGTACTTGAGATTATATGGAATTAATGGATGAAAGCAGCTACTAAGCACCAAACTGGAAATATGATTTTCTCATTTCCCGTTCAGTTCCTGCCCCATCTTAAATCATACTATATATATAAATAGAAGTATCTTCAAAGATTAATGAATTAGTTTAACTAACTCAAATTCAGTATCTCTTGCAGGCATACGGGAAGAATGCACTTTTTGTACTTATCTGAGGGTGTTATTTTTTTCAGAGGTTTGTTCTTTTCCCCCACAAATGAGCTGAGCTTTTCTAACGCAGAGACTTACTACTACAGTAATGCTCCATTTCATGACTTCTCCATCATTTCTAGCATTCAAGAAACGCTATTGCCAATATTTCTGCTAAGTTTTTATTTGGAGAGAAATCCAGACAAAAACACTTCTGTTTCAAAGCCGTTTTCAGTCCTGCAGGGCTCACTGCATTCACTGTTCTAAGAAGAGACTGAGAATGTCTAGTGTGGGAAGTGTTCCCTGCTAGCCAAGGTCCCGCCCAACTGTAGAACAAACCAACGGAGTCCCAGAGAGGGCTGGCCAGGTCCAGAACCTGCATATGGGTTTAATCAGCTTTGGAAAAGGGACTAGAAACTCTTATCAAAGGAAAGTCTGTCATGAACAGCAGCACTTGCCTACCAGACAATAAAACAAAATGCTGGTCGCTACAATGGGGCCTACTTTACACAATATAATAAACCTATCTACAACTCCTGTCCTCCTATGCAAAATGCTAGTTTTCAATTATTTGTTAGAATAACTACCATTTCCTTTCTTCCCAGTAGTAGAAAACTAGACTTTTCTTCCTCGGTAATTAGTGAATTTATTTGCTTTGCATCTTTGCCTGGCAAATGAATAAACTCAGGTTTGTTGTCATCGTTGTTGTTTTTTAAAAAAAACATGAAAATTAAAATGAGTTGAAGAAAATTTAATATAAAACAAACCTTGGTTCAAACTTGTAGGATATGAAATCTAAGAAAATTATAATGCAGTTCTTTAGATTTCTTAAGTACCTTCCTTTTCCATAGTGATGAAAATCACACGTACAATTGTTCTATACAACATTCCTGATGAAAATTAAAAAGACTATGATTTTTTCCCTGGCTGGGTAGCTTAGTTTG